TCTCCTTCTTTGGAGATCTTTAAAACCCGCTTGGATGCAGCCCTGTGCCACGTGCTCTAGGTGACCCTGCGTGAGCAGGGGGGTTGGACTCGATGACCTCTGAGGTCCCTTCCAGCCTTCGGCATTCTGTGATTCTATGATTCTATGATTTTTGTGCATCAACACATGAAAAAAGCAACTAACTCTTACACCTGTAGAAGCCCATGGTATCATGCTCTCAAACAGCACATAAAGCACCATTTAATGCATGATGCAAGTTAGCACATGCTTTTAACTTTTCCTTTTAAATATAATAGGATAGCTGGCCATTTTCAATTGTCAAATAATGCTTTTCTGCATGTCTAACAAATTTGTAGCACGAGAAAACTCTACGTATTTATAAATGATATCTAACAAGAAAAATATTCGCCCATTCTCATCTTGAATACACCCAACCAGGTGTATTCAGGCCTATAGCAAATAATATTTAAAAAATCCAAACAATATTAACCATGAAACAGAACAAAAACTTCCTTTTTATCAATTTATGTGACATTGTAACACTGATGTTACTGCTTTGGTTCATGTAAATAGGCCAAAGGGATGGTGCTTTGCAAGCTTACCTGCAAAATGACTGCCCTGATGCACGTCTTAAACACCGACTATAAACCCACAGCTCCTTTCCCGTCACCAGGTTAGGGTGAACCCTGCCTGTGTACGTTGTCACACCACAAAGCTGACCTAAGAAATGCCACCAGTGCCTGAGGAAGAAGGGGTGTGTTTGCAGGTGCCCGTGTTGGGTGCCCGTGGGTGCCCATGTGTTTGCAGGTGCCCGTGCCAAGCAGCAGTGCAGGCTCGCTGCTGCGCTCGCCCTCTCCCTTGGGAGCCCTCTCCCTTGTTTCTCCAGTGCCACGAAGGTGCCAGGGACCATTTGCAGCTATGGAAATAGCCACGTCCCTGCTATTTACCAGGAGGTTTTGAAGCAGTTGCTGAGTGGGCACTTAGCTCTTCAGAGGGCTTGTAGTAAAGTACTGCAGGCAACATTTGAAGGAGCTCTCGGGGGAAAATATTCAGACAAGCAAATTGTTGAAACTTCTGCTAGTCAAGTATCGTGGTGTGGCCATACCTGAAAGGTGCCACTTTGACCAGCCCAACGTCCACCTAGTGCTCTGCTCAGGGCCATGTAGCAGTGCGGGGTGGATGCATGGAAAGGGAGCAAGAACACGAGCAGCTTCCAGGGATGCTTCCCCCTGCAGCCGGCCACATGTAGCCCAGGAGCTCAGTTTGAAAATTAATAGCAGAATTCCGCTGATTTTGTCCATGGTTTAGGGTAAATCCTGAAAGTTTAGCATGTTTACAACAGTTTAAGGAAAAAATGCTCAAACTGAGAGAGGAGACGTGCTATTTTAGCTGTATTAGTATTCGTATTTCTATTGCCACTGCATAAGCAGCGCTGAATTTCCACAGACAGCACAGGCTCCTCTCATAAGCCACCCACCTCTCCATAAGCCAAGCTTCTTTCCTCCTCAAATATTTGCTTTTACTCAACGAATTCCTTGAGCTGCTATGTTCATTCTCTCCCTTTAGGAGCTCCTGTTCTGCAAATGAGAGAGAAAAGCCTGCAGCATTTTCAAAGTCTGATGTGCATTTCTGAGCCAGCTCTTTTAGTACTTCTCACATTTCCTATTACAGTTGACAGAACTAAGTATATTGCCAAGCCATTTCGATTTTCCAGCTTTCAGCCTTGCTAGTGAAATAAAGTAAAAGCAATGTGATCAGGTAACACCTCTTGAAAAGTCCTGTGCTGGCTCATTGCTACAATGCAGGATTACTCTTGTGAAATCAGCAATATCATTACTCGTTCTTTGTAAGTAAAGAAAAATAAAACTGGTGATTTTGGATACAGGAATTAGTTCAAAAGATTCATCTGTTAAAAAGGAAATGGAAATAGAAAATAACCACTCAGTAGTTGTGAAAATTGTTTCGATGGGAGTCTACAACTGTCTGAAAAGAGCATTTAATACCTCATCATCTCCAAAGGGGAACCCAGGCTGGCTGGATCAGGTCTGGCACATGACAGAGTGTGCTTTTATTTACCCAGTGAAGGTGATGCCAAAACCATGAGCTTAGTCCATTTCCATCATCACTCTTAAGATTTAAAAAAAAAAAAAAAAAAAAGATTTTTTCATGATATTCAATACAATCTCCTTTAGTTTAAATTAAACCTATTGTTTTTTGTTCTACTGTTCATTTTATGTTTGTCTGTTGATTATTTTTAGTATATTGCTGTGCATTCAGAGGCATCTGTCTACAAGACAGACTGAGGAAGGCGTATAAAACAAACAGAAACCTCCTCTCCGGACTGTATTCTCTAAGCTTCCTTTCAGTCTTGCTGCCAGCCTTAAGATCACTTTTATTTCTCTGTCATGCCACCACACTCGCAGAAAACTATGTATGCCTGACCAACACCAAGCAAAACAACAAAAATGCTTTTTGTGTCTTTTATAATATTCCTCAATGCAGAAACGTATTTAGTTACGTAAATGCTTTCCATTTACTGTACTCCCCTATTTTTTTTCCGTAACATGACTGCCTAGACATCTGTCCTCATTTTGCATTTGCGCACTTGATGTCTTCTTTGTACAGGCATCATTAATCACATTTTAATCACATTTCTTCTGGATGATTTCTCCAACCCATTCAGTATTTTTAACTTTGATCTTGAGTGTCCATATGCTTGTAACTTCTTTCAACATGCAGTAATTAAAAAGCTCTTGTGAGCACCATCGTGGCTGCGTGCTGAAAGAAGCTCTAGAAAAGCTTGTATTTTGGCTTGTTATGATTCAAGTTATTGCTACAAATACTGATTAGCTCTGGGGCCAAAATAGAAGCTTCCTGTGATCACTCTTCCGCCTTTGCTAAGCATTCATTAGTAACTATTGGTTACTTTTATTCCCTAGATTGCGTATCCTTATTTTATATGAAAGCATAGAAAGGCACGTTTGCTGTAAAATTACACTTCTACTATTTCTCATTCATCCATTCAATCAGTTGTTCTGCCAAAGACTAAAATCAGGTTCTTTCACATACACTCTTGATAAATCCATGGTGTTTTTCTTATATGTGTGTATATATATATATGATGCAGATGTGTGTGTGTGTGTGTGTGTGTATGTGTGTGTGTATGATGCAGAGTGTTTTGTTGTACACACTTACTGGATAAATGTCTTTTCTGCCATTTTACTACTTATTATTTAGCTAATAGCTCTCTGGATGTTGAGTGGTGCTTGATGGGCTGACAATTTCCCCAGTCCTCCTGCTGTTCGCCTTCCTGTAAAGAGTAGTTTAGGGAGGAAGGGTAACAAACTTCTTGGACTACAACGCCTGCAGCCTCTCCCATCTTGCAGGTCCTCTTGTTTTCCATAAATTCCTCCGAGATAACTACTGCTGATGCTTCAGAGAAGGATTTGTTCTAAACAAAATTGAAAAAGTCTAGAAACTGTTTCAACTTGCTAATAACCTATAGCCCCCAAGGTACAAAGATTCATTATTCCTGAAGATGCTGAGAAGAAAAAAAAAAAACAAGAAAATAGTAAGATCTGAGGGTACTGCTAGCTTTTTCTCCAGGAATACATACCAGTACCTACAAAACGCATGCTTTCACAAGCTTCTATTTCTTTAAAAATAAACACACTTTTTGCCCCTAATTTTGAACTAGAAAGACATAAAAAAAAATGATAGAGTACTGGTGGTAGCTTTGAAGAGTGGAAGCCCAGGAAAATACTGCAGAGGTCAGGACACAAAAGTGCATTGAAAAAGATGTTTTCACGCATTTTCCTTTATCTATTTGTGCTTGTTCACAAAGCTGCCCTTTTAAAGAGCTTTAGTATTCGTGGCCAGTCTTCTTACTGTATCCATTAGCAAACATTAAATGTAAAAGCTAGTTCCTGAGCAAGCCAACACAGAGATGTTTAGCTTTGCTTCCCTTACACTTTTTCATGTTTTTTTTCTCCAAATTGTGCACAATTATCATTGAGACAGAGGCGTTTTTGTAAGGTAAGCATTTCCGTATCCAAATATACACCACCAAAACAGAAAATAGAACTGAGGCAAATTAGACTTGGTCTTTTATCTCATCCAATCCAGTCTGCAAATGCCCGAGTAATGAAAATCTACACAGATTCCAGCAAAATTAACAGCATTGGAGCAATTTCGCACTGCTTTGTACTAGGTATCTCTCCGGTTTCCCAGGCAACTTCGGAAGGAAAGAGTGACAAGTCCCTGTTTATTTATACAGCTTTCACCCTGAGCCGAAGGAAAAAAAGGAAAAATCGGATTCAATCCTTTCTAATGAAGTAGGCCTAAGGTGCCTGGTATTGTGGCTCACAGCGGTTAATAAACACCTTGACGGTGCTCTGCCGTGTCACGGGCCCAGACTTGTCCAGAAACGGGGAGCGGGAGGAAATCATAGAATCACAGAATGGTTAAGGTTGGAAGGGACCTCTAGAGATCATCTAGTCCAACCCCCTGCACACGCAGGGTCACCCAGAGCACGGGGCAGAGGGCTGCGTCCAAGTGGGTTTGGAAGATCTCCAAAGAAGGAGACTCCACAGCCTCCCTGGGCAGCCTGTGCCAGGGCTCTGTCACCCTCACTGTCAAGAAGTGTTTCCTTAAGTTCCTGTGGGACTTTTGGTGCCTCAAAAGGCAAGGGCAAGCGGGGCTTCTGCTGCCACCCAAAGAGAACTTATGGATCCCCAAGGACGAAGATGTGCGCACACACACACACTTATATGCACACACATATATGTATATATGTACACCGTATGTACACGTGGTCCCCGTGCGCCGCCGCCCGCCACTCCCACCAGGGCGCCCAGCGCTGCGGCCCCGCAGGAGGCCGAAGGGGCGGCCGAGGCCCCGGGCGGGCGGAGCGGCCCCGGGCGGGCGGAGCGGCCCCGGGCGGCCCCGCGGCGCCTCCCCGAGCGGGGCGGAGCCGGGCCGGCCTGCGAGGCGCCGCCGCCGCCGCCGGAAGAGCCGCCGCCGCTGCTATGGAGGAGTTTCACCCGCACAACGACGAGGTAGGGGCCGCCCGGCCCGGCCCCGCGTCTTCCTCGCGCCGCTGCGGCCGTTTTTACCGGAGCGTTTTGGCATATCCCTCCTGCAGGGGGGAAAAGAGAGGGGGGGATAAAGGGGCGGGAGCGGGCGCTGCCCCTGGCAGCCGCGACCAACGAGCCTTTCCCTGCGCGGGAGCCGCCTCTGGAGTCCGCGGGCTTCGTGGCGGAGCTGCCCGCAGAGGAAAAGGCCCCGAGGCTCCTGCCCTGGCCCTGTGTCTGCTCGGGGTGAGGAGGAGGAGCCGGCGGGAGGCGATCGGGAGTGGGAAATGCCAATGGAAGCTGCGGCTTTGCCAGCCCCTGGGCAGGATCACAGGCATCGGAGCCCTGCCAGGGCCGCAAAGCGTTAAGGTGTCGTTTGGCGACAAGGTTTAACCCAAAGGCTGGTGAGCCCGTGGCTCCGGTAGAAAGCAGGCTTTGCTCCAGAGGGAGCGTTGGCTGTTGAGGGTTTTGTCGCGGGAATGCTCGGGGGAAGAGCCTGTGGCAGGGGCAGGGCTTGGGCTCTACAGCGAATGCCCATCTGGCCCCTTTCCAAGCACACCGAGGCCTCCGCTTCGGGGCCTGCTCAAAGTGACCGCCAAGAAGCACCAAATAACACATCTCTGGGGCTGGAGAAAAAAGTAAGATGCAAAAGTGTGCAGGCTGAACAAGGAGTCAGACGTGGGGCCTGACCGTGGTGTGTTGTTTGGAGTAATACTGCATCACGTGTTCATTTCCCTGTCAGGGAAAAAATAGTTAAATTCTATGTACATTTTATTACAGATGATCTTCAATGCTGATGAAGCCCACAACATTGTTAAGGAGGTAGGTTTTACCTAATGGCAGTGTTTCAAAGATGATCTTTACTTTTCCTTGCAGGGTAGTTAAAACAGTTGTTTCTATTAGTCATCCCAGGGCAAATTCAGTCAAATTTGTGTGAAATAGAAGTTACTATTTCTGTGAATTAGAAACAACTTCATCAGGAACTGCTGTGGAGTTTCATGAACTCGCTTGGGTCTTCCTTGACCTAAAGAAAGGGGAGGTTTCAGAGGGCAGAGAGTCAAAACTTGAGCTATGAGGAGGATGATGAGGGGCCACAGTCACTGGCTGCAAGGGAGGTTCAGTGTGAATTTTTTCCCCTTGCCTGTCTTGTCAGTAGTTCGTACTGGAACTGATAGCTGAGAGAGCTTGTGGAGTCCTTAGAAACATAAAACCATGGAACAGACAAGGCCTTGAGCAACACGATCAAAGGTTGAGGTTACCTGTGCCTTGAGTGACAGATTAGGCTACGTGAGCTTCAGTTACACTACCAGTGTTTATGAAGATTAATTCTTATGCAGAAAGAGTGGCTTAAAGCAAATAGCCTGATAGTCTCAATTAAGCACCTAATAATCAGGAAGTGATTAAAGAAGAGCCCATGACACGGAGCTGGCGTGGTTTCTCAGGGAAATAGCGCATTTATTAAAGAGTTTCTGTAGGGACTGTGCACATCCTTTCTTGCCCATCAAGAATGGTGCTTCTAGAGCTGTTGCAGTATGCAGCAGAGAGGTCTGAGACGTCAGTGTGTTCAGCTCTTTATCACTCCCTGCCTTGAAACGCCAAATGCTGTGTGACAGCTCTCTCTCTTTTTGTATCTGACCCTGGGAGTAAAGCCAAGCGTTTCTCCCTCTGCTTTAAAGCTGAACTGAAGGTGGAGATTTCTGGTGTTAGATTCGTTCCCGGAAGGAACAAAGAACCTTGTCAGAATTGTTGTCCCTCGGTTGCCTTCTAGTCTGTTGTGTTCCAGTTGAGTCCTTTGTCCTGGGTTATACACTGTGATCTGGAGAAATTGGGTGTTTTAAGGTCTAGGACACAAATCCCTTATGTAGCCTTCCAGTGGGTCATCAAAGAATGTTTAAGGTTGGAAGGGACTTCAAGAGATCTTCTAGTCCAACCCCCCTGCTCCAGCAGGGACACCCAGGGCACAGGGCGGCATCCAGGCGGGTTTGGAAGATCTCCAGAGAAGGAGACTCCACAGCCTCCCTGGGCAGCCTGTGCCAGGGCTCTGGCACCCTCACAGTGAAGAAGTTCCTCCTCACATGGAGATGGAGCTGCCTGTGTTGCAGCTTGCACCCATTGCCCCTTGTCCTGTCACTGGCCACCAATGAGAAGAGCTGGGCCCCTTCCTCCCTACATTCCCCCTTCAGGAACTTATACATGTGAATCATATCTCTTCTCAGCCTTCTCTTCTCCAAGCTAAACAGGCCCAACTTGTCCAGTCTCTCCTCATACGAGAGATGCTCCAGTCCCTTAATCACTTTTGTCGCTCTCCGCTGGACCCTCTTGAGAAGCTCCACATCCCTCTTATACTGGCGAGCCCAGAACTGCACCCAGTACTCCAGGTGCGGCCTCACCAGAGCTGAGTAGAGGGGCAGGATCCCCTTCCTTGACCTGCTGGCAACACTCCTCCTGATGCAGGCCAGGATCCCATTGGCCTTCTTGGCCACGAGGGCACACTGCTCACTCATGGTTAACTTAGTGTCAACCAGGACTCCCAGGTCCCTCTCCATGGAGTTGCTCTCCAGCAGCTGTACTGATGCCTGGGGTTATTCCTCCCCAGGTGCAGGACCCTGCCCTTGTCCTTGTTGAACCTCATGAGGTTCCTCTGTGCCCAACTCTCCAGCCTGTCCATGTTCCTCTGAATGCAGCAGCCCTCTGGAGCGTCGACCACTCGACCCAGCTTGGTATCATCCGCAAACTTGCTCAGGGACTTGCTGTGTCATTAGCACAGAGGTTCTACATTATTAAATCAGAAGAGAATACAGTTTCATTTTATCTACCCTTTCCTGGTATGTGTTTGTCTTTATTGTTTAACATGAGAAATACAGTTCCCAGCATGTGATTCTGAGTTGCTTTAGGGGTAGAGGATGCAGCTGAGGAGTTATAGCTCCCAGGCTTTCTGTTATTTGACTGTTTTAAGCTTAAGCAAGGGTTTGCCCTTATATATAGCTGTGGCAGAATATGCAGTTTTCAAGCAGTTCAGGTGTCTCTCATGCTGCAGGACAGGACGTTTGCATTAGCTCTTGCACTCATAGCTTTCCTATCCTTTAGCTGGGGTACATGTTTCACTGTGAGGCTCTGGCTATTTGAAGATTTTGGTGGTTTTTGTTTGGTTTTACTCTGTTGTAGTGCATAGAAGGTGTTCTGGGCAAAGCAGATTATAACCACAACAAAGTCAACCAGTGGACAGCAGCTATTGTAGAACAGTCGCTGACACATTTGGTGAAACTAGGGAAAACATACAAGTACATTGGTAAGTACAAATATTCATATTTTTACCCCATACAGTTACAATAAATGCAGAAAGGTTGGATTTAGTGCAGTGATCAGGTGAATATAGATCTTTAAATCTATACTAAAACTATATAAATCTATTATAAAAAAAAAAAAAAAGTGAATTAGGACCTGACCTGAACTCTTCTGCAATGTAGTGAAAGCATGTGAGTTTTTGAGTTTTACACGACATTCAGTCTCTCTTGATTATAATCAACTCCCAAACACCTGTGCCATTTTTTTTTGGTGTAAATTCAAGAAATAGTTTCTATTTTTTCTAAAAATATTTTTTAGTAAGATGACATTTCATATAAATACAGGTATTTAAAACATTGCCAGTGCTGTTAAGATAGGTCATGCCCCGTAATACCTGCATGCATACAGGTATGTCTGTGGAAGGCAAAGGGAAACAAGTTCAAGTTTGCTTTGGTTGCTGCATTTGCAGCCTGTTCTGTTTTGAAAGTCCTGAATTCAGATTGTCACTGGTGTGATAGCAGGTGCAGGAGAGTGTGTAAATGCTGTGCCTCCCCAGAGAGAGGTTACAGAGAGCCTACACCAGGACTTGGGTCAAACAGCCCCCGTTCAGGATTTCCACTGCAACCATGAGGACAGTACCTGTAATCCAGTTCTCAGGTGCACAAGTCACAAGCCATAGCTAAGTAGCTTAGCAGATTAAAAAAGAAAACAGAATCCCATTAGCAAGCTTTATGTTAAAGCTCTTTATGTGAATGAAGATATTTGAGATGAAGGCCAAGTTTCTGAGGAAAGCGGGGTAAGGGGCTAGTCAAAAATGGTTTCCCCTTAGCTGAATGCCTCCTCTGAGCCATTTGAAATCATAACGTGAGCTTTAGTTCAGGGATTCTGAATGATTCAGCTCTTTTGTTTCAGTAACGAAAGCTCTGGTGTTTTTATGACTGTCTCCTTCAGTAACCTGTGCAGTGATGCAGAGGAGTGGAGCTGGTCTCCACACCGCAAGCTCTTGCTTCTGGGATACCACAACTGATGGTGAGTTTCCTTATGCAGATTAATAAACTGTGGTGAAAGGAATGCTGCCTGTTGCTCAGTTGTAATGGTTCTCTTGGATATTTGGGAAGAGTGACTATAGAAGCAGTAGCTTCTAGAATTAGCTGCTTGTTTATAATCCCAGCAGAACTAGGCAATTTTGCTGGTAATAAGGCTTAAGCAGGCATAAGAGAGCCTTCTTTTTAAATGAAAAGAAGCAATAACAGAAGTGCTTTCATTTGATTCTTGTATCACGAAGATCCAGTGCTCTGCAGTAACTGCAGATAACCGAGGCAGTAAGGTACTCATTGCAGTATATGCAGCAGTCCTGACCGTGTCCTCTTGCCTGTTAGAAGGAGGCAGTGCTGCTTTGAAGATCAGCAGGGCTCCGTAGAAAATAGTAACAGTGCAAATAGCAGCCTGTGTTTAACTGAACTAACATTCAGTTCATACCCTTTGGATACACTTCGTTTGTGTCTATGTAACATCTAAATGCACTTTTTCCTTTTTGAGTATTGTGAGGAAATAACATGAAAATACTTTAAAAACTTTCCAGGTTTGAGGGTTTTTTTTTTCCTCCTTCTCCAGAAGAGGGCACCAAATTGTAAGTTAAAAATAGAGATTGCACTAGAAAGTCAGCCAAGTCTGAAAAAGAAATAATGCATTTCACATAAACAAGTAGAGTTTACTTATCTTTGTGTTTTCTTGGCTTATAAAGCATTTGGGCAGTTAAAGAAAATAAATTCACTGGAATGTGCTTGACCTAGACTTTTCAGAGAGTTTGGCCTGTTTTTAGTCTTATTATCTTGCCAATTTCAGTAAGGAATCTTCAGTATTTTTTGCAAACAGAGCTTTTAAAGAGGTACTGAACTAGTCTTCTCTTCCTGGATTAGGTATGTTTGTTAGTAAATATTATGAAAAGTATAAAAGTTAGTAAAAATTATAAAAACATGTTGAGAAATCGACCTGTTTCTAGGCCAGATGACATAGTAATGATCATCTCAGATCGCAGCGGAAGTTTTCATATTAATTTCACACTATTTGCATCAAGATAAAATGAATTTAGTAAAAGATTCCAATTTTATTTTGTAATAAAAATCTCTTTTAGGAACCTGCACAGTGAGATGGGAAAACCGAACGATGAACTGCATCGTCAACGTCTTTGCAGTTGCTATTATCCTGTAGCCGCTGGAAGATGAACAGAAGTAACACCGAAGCCTTTAAAAACAGCACCAGAAAAACAAAACAGCGAAACCCTATCATTTACCAAACACACGACTGACTATTTCAAGCCACTATTTATTTTTTTGAATGAGGAGGTATATCATACACAAATTCTCTAGAGAGAACAGTCTCAGCCAGCTGTTATAGATTAATTATCTGAAAGATAGCAAATCCCCCATATATTTATTTAAATTACAAAATATATTATAGATATAAAATTTAAAATTTATTCATATATGATGTTAATGAGAAGATGCCACACAGATCAATATGACTTATATCAAACCTTGTATCAGGGACACTTTGTTCAAGAGCGACAACAAACTTCTAATCCAAGGAAAGATGAAAGGGCAAGCAAGACCTCAGAATTTTGGGAACAAATTATGAACAAATGATGAACAAATTATGAATGCAATTCAGAGTGGGTGTATTGTTAATGATATCTCTATTTTGTGTTCGATTAAACAAACTTAGATTGCTCTTTGAATGCTGATGCTTGTGAAAGACATAAGTATCACATTTCAGTTGAGCATAAACTCTCATGTTGAAATGAAGTACATTAAGTTTTTCCACCAGAGGCCTAAAATAACTTCACTACCGTAAATATGAAATACACTTAGCTCTAAAAAAATTCTGTTTTTTTCTTCAGAATGAAGAACGTTGTTACTAATTCAGGGAAGCGTGTTTGGGATCAGGTGATAGCATTTAATCCATAATTTATATTTTTAAAGACATTATGAAGGTACTTAAATTTGATTTTATTCTATTATTATGGAATTTGTGACAAGCACTTTATTGATTCCTCATGAAACAAAGTACCCAGTAATGAGAGGAGTAAGATGGGGCCCATACTGCTCTGAGAAGAAATAAGTTGCTCAGAGAGAAGGCACACTCATTTCTAGATGCTCTTGTTACCCTGAAAGCACTTACCGTAAAATAATGTACCTACTTCTATAAAGAGTATTTCCTCTGTTCTCAAAGTCTAGAATTGAATTTTAGTTCTATGAAAAGTTGTAAGCACTAAGAGTTCCCATCCTACAAACATTTATGCAAGTTCTTGACCTCACTCATCTGATTAGTCTCAAAAATATTATACATAGAAAAAGAAGATATTTGCACATGCATAAGTATTTGCTGGATTGGGGCCTATGTTTTTGTCAATTAATGCACAAATTACATGATAAAGTTCTATCAATACCAAAAATGCCTAAGTGGTTGCTGCCACAAGGTGGCAGCTATGGGAAGTTGTTTTATCAAATGCTGCTTGAGGGTAGATTTTTTTTCTTGATTAGTGCGTGTCTTTGGAAGAGACCAGTAACTACCTAACAGCTCCTGTATGAGGCTGTTTTGCCTTTTAACGAATAGTATTAAAGCACTACTACACTGTTCGGTTTCTTTGGGGGCTCTTGGGACATGTAGCAAGTGTCCTGGGTGAAGAACAAGCTAAAAACCATTTCATTGCTCATATTGTGCTTATTGTTACTATTAAGAGTACAGGAAGACCGTGTGTGCGTATCATTCACAACACCGTTCCAAATCTGCTGCTTTGCGGGCAAATAGAATTGAGCTTCTACCTAAGTGCAAGTGAGGTTAAGCCACTGTAGCACTGCCTTTGCCGAACAAGCAGGTGTAGGGTGCAATGTATTTGCATGTTGTACTGACTTTCAGATGTATAGTGATTTAGTATTATCTGGCTTAGGATAGCAGTTTCCAAACTACCTGTCAGTGTTTAAGACCCGAGTTGTGAACCTGAGAAAAATGCAGTAGTTTCCCGTTTCTTTGAGATTACACAAGGCAACAAACTTAGGCGGAATCACAACCAGGAAAGGTTTGGGAACTGCTGATATTGTGTAAGATGTGAGTGAGTAAAAATGTAGTGATGACTGTTATCCTTGTTTAATAGGCCTTCAGGTGCCATGGGCAGAAGGGATATTACTCCAAATAGCTGTTTACAATCTCATTTAGTATTTTTGCTTTACTTGAAAATAAAATGCACTGAGCAAGATTATTACTCTGATGAGGCTTGGTGAAGGTTCCAGCGCAGAAGATGTTTCACTAGAAAGCAAGAAGATACTGCTTAATTGTAACGTTGCTTCATTTTTCTTTCTACCAAAAAGGAAAAAAAAAAGTAAAATAAAGATTTGCCTTAGTTGTATTTTTGTCTCTTGCCTACTTGATCAATATAAAAAGCAACTGAAAACAACTGGTTTTTGTTACTTTTTGTTACTGAAAACTGGCTTTTTGTTACTTGTACACAGAAATGAGAGTTTGGGAGATTCCTTAAAGTTGTGTTTGTTTGAGAGGTGAGACTTGTCAAAGGCTCCAGGACGAGATTAGCTTCTCCCGTTCTCCCGCCTGTTTTCTACCCTGACCTACTGCGCTTACTGCTTGTCTGGGTCATACGTGTTAAAACTTTTGTTGCTTTAGAAAAGCTCCTAGGCAACTCCGGGAAAAGTGTTTGTATTCCAGGCTACCATAGCCAACTTAATTGCTTTCTTTCCCATCTTTCGTTCCCCATCCATCTCTGGGTACAAAGAGCCACTTATAATTAACTCTCAAGATGAGTTTCTGTCACTTTCCTTCCAAAGAAGTAGTTTGTTTTCAGGGAGAAAACTCCAGATTGCAAAACAGAAGGAACAATCACATGTTAATCACATTTCTAGTAATATGGTTTCTTAGCTGTTACAATCATTGGGAAGAATTCTTGTGTCTTATAAAGCGGACAGAAGAATCTGCATTAGGGAGGACCCCATGTCTAGGGAGCCCTCTGAACGCAGGGGAGCAGCTCCACAAGAGCAGCACTAAGGGTGGCTGCAAGCGGCCTCCTGGGCTCGACACTCAGGTTAGGTGCTCTGGCACTTGCTTTGCTCTGCCCTGCTGGGCCTGTGCCCATTTGCTTGGGTAGAAGAGCTTCTCTCCTTCCCCCTGGGTGGAGGGAAGGCTACAGTTTAATGCACGGGCCTGTTGGTGGAGATTGTTCTGCCTTAGTGAGTCTAAGTCACTCTCGAGCCACCGGAGGTTTTAGCTTGTATATTCGTTCCATCAAACATTTGTTTTTAGAGCCAGGAATACATTTAGCTGCAGCATGCAGCTTTGTTACATAAATGTTATTTAAAAGCAGCAAAATGGTGTTAGAGAGACACCTGCAAACCTCATTGCAACAGTCTGAACTAGAATTACTAAGGAGGGAGAACTGGGATTACAGTAACAGGCCCTGTTGGTTGTCATGATTAGAAATTCAGGTACTTCACAGTCTTCATTTGTGGTGCCCTCTAATTATATGAAATGCTTTCTTATATTCCTCGGTGTAAAGAGAGACTCATATTAGTGCCCTCTAACCCTTGTCCTCTTGTTCTCCTGTCCAAAACTCATGCAGTCCTCATAGTCAATGCACAGGTTGTACATGAGCTAGGCAAGATTTGACAGGAAACTGTTTACCCCAAATTTCTGTGTTCACTACTCGCATTTAACGCTACCAAGGCTGAACTGAAATAGCTGGAAACAGGTACGGTGTCCGTGGTTTAAGTGCCATGCAGTAATGCAATGTTGGCTTCACAGCTATGTGATCATGTGATCACGCACAGCTTGCGTGATCTCTCACAAAATGAGATCTTCTCCAAACAGACTGCAGGACCAGGGAGCTCGTAGGAAGACCACAGGCATCTCCAGCAGGGATCCAGGACTCAGCAGGCCCTACCAGACATGGAGCACAGGAGATGGCAGCTTCCTTCCCTGGCACAGGGGGGTTGGGGTCCTCCTGGGTCCTCGGCACCCCTCTGAGCACCACACACCTCTGCTACCTTGTGGTTACTCCAGAACGGAGAGCTAGAGCCCTGCGTGTTTGAAACACCCTGTGGTAGGTTTCACACGGATCTCTGTAGGTGACATTTGTGATAAATGCTCAAAGAGGCAGGACTGGGACCACAGGGCACGTGGGCCAGAAGAGAGCCCGTTTGGTTCTGACACCGCAGCTTCAAACAGGGCTGCTTTTACTGTACCCACAAGCTAAATATGGAGCCTGCACCGCAGGCTTTACCAGAGATGAGAGGGAAACCCCTCAACCCGCCCCGGGCCGCTGAGCGGCGCCGGCGGCCTCGGGAAATCAACCGTCCCGTCAGCAGGTGGCAGCGCGGGCGGCGGTTAAACGGCCGCGACGCCCGCGCCTCGCGACGCGCAACGGCCGCGCCAACGGCCACGGCCGGGTCTGCCGGTAACGGCAGCCGGGCGGCAGGGCCCGGGGAAGGGCTGTGCGTGCATGGCAGAGAGCCAAGGTGAAAGGAGCCAAAGGAGAGACTGAAACACAGTAATAATGATAATATCGCTAAAATAGCCTTGGTACAGAATGACATCAGCAAGTTATGGTTGTGTCATTGCTCTGAGCGTGTATGTTTTTCAGACAAGCTGTCATGCTGCACGGGAAGTGTGAGGAGGGCAGTGGAAAGACCGCAGGTCATTGCAGCCTGCGGGCCCCCACACGGACACGCGCCCTCCTTCTCTGCCCGCTTGGACACGCGCTCTGCTTCCCTGCCCACGTGGATCCGCGCTCTGCTTCCCTGCCTGCCTGGACACGCGCTCTGCTTCCTCAATGGCAAGTCAGGAGTCATGGCACAAGTTACAACGGACTGTTTCTCACCCATGCTGGGGAGCGAGCGCCTTCTGACTGCTCCTGTTTTTGTATCATCTGTGTAAAGTTCCTGTAAAAAGGGAAGACTAAAAAAAATCCAATCTTGGGCTTCTCCTATCCTGGGCTTCATAAAAATACATTTTTTCTTTTTTATTTTTTTATATATAATTTTTTTTTATATGAGCACATGTAGCTATGTATGACATACTTCTATTTTCAGTCTTGCTACTACTAAAAATATTGTCTCTTGAGAATAGAAACAGGGCTGCCCTTCATGTATTGTATCCCAGTAGTAGTGATACATTCTGATACTGAACTAGTCTCGGGAAAGTCGAAACAGAGCTGGCCTGAGGTACATAAATTGCCATACTCCTCCCTGCACCCTGCACAGCTGTTAAGGGACTGTGCAAATTATATGTAAATGTACATGTAAAAATTTACATTGTGTCTTCTCTCTTATCTTTCAAGCCAAACTTGAAACAGAGAGGACAAAGAAGAGGACAGTGTGAGGGAGCAGGGATGATGACAATGACCAAAACAGGAACTTAAGAAGGAAGAAGGAATGTAGATGATTTAAGAGGCAAACTCCAAAACGCAGAGCCAATCCTGAAACAAACAACAGAACTTAAAGCACCCGTTTTCTGTCTCTTCTTTTTCAATATCTGTTCCTTCCTTTGGCTCCTACTCCATTTATTTAGGAAAATGGGAGAAAAAATTATTCTGAAAACCTGAGAACTGCCCATGCAGTAGCAGTTGGAACGCGTAATCCTGGCTCTTCAAGGCAGTAATTACAGTTATTATTACTATTATGGTTATCGTCACTGCATTGCTTGGAAGCGCTGGTTTTGGAACATTGCCCCACTCTGATGGATGTTATTCAAATATAAAACAAGAGCACAGCCACCGTCTGAAAGCCCTGCAATTTGACTGCAAAGAGGCAACGGACAGAGGCAGACAAGCCTGGGAATGTGAAGAAACAATATAAGCAAGGGGAGAAAAAGAAAGCATTAGGCATAAACAGGAGTGTGAGGTCCATAGGTGTATCAAGATCAGGACAGAAACTATGTGGAGCAGCCAAAATGGAAATGGAAAGAGAGGACTTCCGAGTAGGGAGGAGAGGAGGTGACAGAGCCTTCTGGCAGACCCAGCAGGGACAAGGAGGCTCTTAGGGGAGCTGCAGCTTCCATGCTGATCAGAGCACAGCTCAACTGGCTCGGAAGTTGTTGGTGATTTTGGCAGATTTTCCTAAACGCAGCTTGTCTGACTCCGGAAAACTGGTGGAAACAGCTGGCAGCCAAACCATGGGCACAACAGCGGAGTGTTAGGGAAGTATCTGAAGTGGATAATGAGGTATAGAATGGCAGGGAGTTAGGGAAAATTCTCTTAAGAGTGTTCAGAGAATCAAAGACTATTTGTTGATAATTTTAAAAATGAGAATAGGAGCACGGTACCATCAACTGGCAGAACGGAGCGTTTCCAGCTCCTGCTTTTGAAGGCAGGAGGGAGGAGGGCTATGAACAGTTATGAAACTAGTACAAGTTGAGTGGATTTGCTGCAAAAGAGAAAGGGGAGTTCAGGGAAGAGGTGCAGGTGTTGGTGGATCAGTAATGAACTAGAGGTGAGAGCTCCGTAGCAGCTTTTGGGCTGGAGGAAAAGGAAGGGTAGCAATCAAGCAGCGAGCTACTGAGAGCCTGTATATCAATCCTGGCTTGAGAGGCTGGATAGGAAAGCCAGCATCCCCAGACTGTTCTGCTGAAAACTATCTGCATGTCTGTCTTAGGAGATGAAATGTTCAGAAGTGTGACTCAAAGTTACCACCAAGTTTGTGACTTTGTTCGCAGTCAGTGATGGAAGGGTGGGAGGGAAGGCTGTGGATCAGGAGCTCTTCTTTTAGCAGCCTTGAGATTGAAAAGTTGGTGAGAAATGCACAGAAATTGTGCCTGTCCCACCTGTCCCCCAGCTCAGGCCATCTGCAGTTGGAGTGCCCCTGATGAGATGGATTGAAATCAGGCCATGTCGTCATCCCTGTGTCCAAGCTCTCCTATTCCAGCTGGTGTCTGACACGGTGTGCAGGTGGCTCGGATGAACAGGGGGTTGGGAATGGAGGGCAGCACAGTCCCGAAGCCAGGGGAGACTGAGATCTCTGGAGAAGACCATGGCTAAATGTATGGATGACAGCTGGGATGTCATGGGAGACGAGGACAGAGGCCTAGATATATCTGCCTGGTTGGAAACTTTAGCCATAGCATTTCGAGAATTGAAGTGTTTTAGAAGGCAGACCAG